TCTTTATCAGTCAAAATAGACAAAGGGATTCTTCCATCTCCAGGCTAAAGTCTGAGAGCTTCATGATCTGAAACTATAGCCGTTTCCTGCTCACTAGAGTTTATTGATTCGTGTTCGGTACTACTTTCTTCATTTCCTTCAAAGTCTTCAACCCTATCAACCTCTTCTACGTTTTCAGTATCATTATTGGCAACCTCTTGTACCCAATTATCACTCAAGGAGATATTATACTCTTGATAGAGTGTTGTTGACTGTAGAAATAGTGCTGCTCTCCAAACTTTAGCAGGACTTAAATTTCCTCTGATATAGTCTTTGATATAACGCATCCTACGAGCTAAACTCAAGTGAATTGTATTTGAGTCGTCAAGATTACAAGGAAGTAATGAAACCATTGTATCAACATTAACAGGTACGTTGATAATACCGCCTTTACTTCTATACTGCTCAGTTAGTCCTTTGTGTGTCCATATAGACTGGAAAACGTGTCAAGGTGCAACAAGTCTTTCTTCTAATCTTGTCAGGTCGTCTAGACAAACGACATGATCAGGAAAGTGGAGACCATTAGAGAGAGCAAGAGTTGGAAGTGTTTTTTTCTTAAGTGATGTTATACAGGTAGAACATAGTGGAATATTGTCTATAATATCTTCACCAACGAAAGTGCTTGGTATCTTATGATTGTCAATTGCCCAAAAGGTTTTTTCAACAATATCTTCTGAACAACCCCAATTGCCTGTAAGAGCGGTTCTTTTTACTGAAGATATATCTTTTTGAAAGAAAAGGCCTTCACAATATCCGCATATGCATGTAGGATCCTTTCTGATTATTGATTCATACTTTCTTTGTATACTACTCCAATTATTTGTGCCAACGTCATTCAGTCTATGCCTTCTTACTACTCACTCATTCTCTTCAACAGCTCTACTTTGTCTACTATACCTATACTCACGCATATATTCTGCTCGAGAATTATGGTTCTCCTCTTCTGTCTCTGCCGCTTCTGTCTCCACTACTTCTGTTCCCACTATTTCTGTTCCCACTACTTCTGCTTGAATTACTTGTGCTCTTACTACTTCTGCCTGAACTACTTCTATTTCAGCTGTAAGTGGGCATCTGCGTCGATACTCCCACATATAATCTGCACGAGAATTACTAATATTCTCTGCTTCTACTGTCTCAACTACTTTTATTTCAGTTATTTGTTGGTGCCTGCGTCAATATTCTCGCATATATTCTGCACGAGAAGTATTAATATTCTCCACTTCTACTGTTGGTATCACTTTCATCTC